TCACTATATAATATACCCAGGTGATTCTATTATGCAGCCAATGCTGAGAACCACTGCTGTATTGTAAATCTTGCAACATATTGTATTAAAAGTTTTGTGTTTATCCTCCCCAAGATTAAATTTCTTGAGCATTGAAATTATTTTGTATTAATATGCATATCCCCTGAGAGTTTTAAAAAATCCCAAGCACTAGGAAGTGTTCAATAAGTAGTTCATAAATAATAAATGTATGAATGAATGAATGAATGACACATCATCCATCATTCACCCATCCCAATCATCCACCCATCTATGTTTAGAAGCTTGCTTATATTCATGCAGTTGTTCAGGGTTAGAAATTGTGGAAAATAAAGGACTCAATGTGGATCCCAATTGTCTGGAGATAAAGGATATAGTCTAAGAGGAGTTTCTGAGGAAACAAATAAAATATGGCCTGAAAGAAAACCTGCAAAAGTTTGAACTAATTAAGAGCATGTGCTGAAAAAACAGAACTATGAAATCTGACTTCAGCAAGAACTTTGGGAGAGAGATTAATACAAGAGGGGCTGGAGATGGGGAGAAAGGAACAACCAGCCCAAATGTAGATCAGCTTCTACCTATACAAGATAGAAATATGAGGATGAATCTTAGCTTTCCGTCAACACCCAGAGTCCAGAGCCTGAAAGTCAAGATGTCCTAGCAGCCTGGGGGAGAATCAGCAGAATGAGAGTCAAGCTTGACACTGAAGCTTGAGTATCACTGGACACAGCAGTGTTCCATCTGCTCTGTAAATCTGTATCTTGGGGTTCATAACATGTGCTAAGGGTTTTATATATGCTATCCCATTAAATATTCAGAATTAGGTTTAGGAAATAGGCTTTATTACTTTCAACTTCACAGATGAGGACACTGAGATTTTGGGGAGTTGAGTGAGCCTCCTAAGTCACCTAATTATAATTAGTAAATGTCACCTTCTAAATGGCCTGTAGGCATTACTGACCTGACAACCCCATATGGAGGAGAGGTATTGAAGAAGATAGAGGGATGGTTGGAACTCCAAGGTCTCTATCAAGAAGATGGCTTTCCCCTGCAAGTCCTACCAATGGACTGGGAGACAGCAGGTGAAGGAAGCTTTGTGAATTGTTGCCCTTGATTTTGAAAAGCTCCTACTTCTCTGGGCCAGGAACCACTATGTGGCCTTCAAGAGTGAAAATGTGATACTTTCCATTTCTTGACTTCCAGAGAATGTGTTTGTGGAGGCACATGCCCTTTCTCAGAGAAGGAGACACGGGCAAGAACACTGCCAATTCAGTCATTCTGTAAGATAGAAGACTGTTTGTGTATAAATATTGGATTGCTGTTTTTTAAAAGAATGATTTCTTTTTATTACTTTCATAACATGAAAACTTCTTATATTCCATTTAATGTGTCATTAAAATTTAAATATTTGATCTGCCATAGTAACGGGAATTCCCTCTTCCTGGACCTCCTTCTTGACTATTCATAGTCTATGTTCAGGAAATCTTGTCTTCTCTCTTGTCTTAATAGACATTTAGATTCCAAAACAAAGTCTGATCTTAATTATTAGTCTAGCCAATCAGTTTTGTCTGTCTACACTAAGGAGTAATGAAGATGCCTGCCGATTTTAGTCTGCTAAAAGATATTTTCTCTTTTCTATCTCCTGGGATGACTAGTTTGCCTGGAATAGTTTATAGTGTCACAGCCTTGATGCCAAGCATGTTGGAACAACTGTTCTTTCTGACCCAACCCTGTACACAATTTCTCTCTGTGGAAACTATAATGACTCTTGCTGTTAAAGATACCAGGAATAGGATGGCACTGGAAATGTATTTGGCTTATTGGGAAATAACTTGAGCTTTGAACTTAGCTGGAACTGGGTTCAAATCCTAACTCTGCCATTTGCAACACTTCTAAGGCCAAGGAAATGTCAACAAATGTCAATTTTTTTCTTTGTCCTCTTCTGTTGAGGAATGGGATACACTGCTTTGATCATTTTTATGAATCTAATCATATGTACATTCAGTACAACACATCCGCACAAAAGGCACACAGTTAGGATTTTACTGTCCTCTGCCTTTAGTTTTTTGACAAGCCAAGATTTCAAAACAGCTCATGAGCAGTCTGTATTTTGTGGCAACTTATTATTTGACCTTTCCCTAGAACATGAATGTTTTATTACCCTTGGTTCCTTCACTTGTGAAAAAACACATCCCTTCTCTCTCAGTCTGTGTCTTCTGATAAACAAGTTCCAATGAAAATTTTCTAAATAATAAAAAAGAAGGTAGCTACTATAGGCATTTACAACTGACCTTATTTCAAAAATTTGGTTGGGCAACTCTCTACTCACTTTCAAGAGAGAGGCAATGTGTGAGTCATGAGAAGATCTCCCTTGAGGTAGTCAAAACAACTGGCAGTGCCTGATCTTGGCATGTTCACTCACCCTCTGGTCCTGATTTTCCCCTATGTGAAAGAAATATTGTGCCACAGAACATCTAAGGTCCATTTCTCCTCTTAAATATCTGAGTCTAGTTACTGCTTATTTATAAGAAAATAAGTTGGCTTGCCCAAAGATAAAACGATATTAAATGGCAGATATTTCACAAGAGAACTGGTCTTTCTCTGTTCTTTCTCTTTTATGTCTGGGTTATAAAGTTATTATAATGATTACCTTTCATCACCCACCTAATCCCATAAAACATCTCTCACTATGTAAACACACATGGTATTTTTCCCTTAAGCAATTACTCTCTTTACCTATGGGAATCAGGTTTTTGCTAAAGCTCAGTAAGGGAAGGTGCCAGCTTTATGTTAGAAGACTTAATATTTCTCTCTGCGAAAAAGGTTTTCCATAGCTGAGACCAACTCAGCATCACTCTATTGTCTTCTACTAAGGGAGAATTACAAGTTAGTATTTAGCATCAAACACTGGTAATGTACCATAACAATGAGGGAGAAGAAGAAAAGGAATATCTATTAATAAGTATCTCAGTTCAAACTGCTACACTGAAATACCATAGACAGGGTGGCTTGAACAACTGACATTTAGTTCTCATAGTTCTGGAGGCTTGAATTCTGAGATCAGAGTGCCAGCATGATCAGGTTCTTGGTGAGGGCTCTGGTTGTGTCCTCATATGGCCTTTCTTTCATGGCTGTGTGGTGATGGGAATGAAGGGAGAGGGAGAGGGAAAAAGAGAAAGACAGAGAGAGATTTCATGTTGTCTTCCTTTTCGTTGTTGTTGTTTTTGGTTTTTGTTGAATGAGGGCATTGATTGCATCATAGGGGCTCTACCTTCAAGCCTTCATCTGAACCTAGTTACCTCCCAAATGCCCCACCTCCAAATACCTTTACAATGCAGATTAGGGCTTCAGCATGTGAATATGCTGGGGACTGGGGACGCAAACATTCAGTCCATAGCAGTGGTAATAGATGAAATAGATGAAACGTAATAGATTCTCCTTATTGTGCCTTTCTGTATGGCTTGGTGCTAACTAAATATAAATATGTATATTACATAATTATCCATTTATTCTTTTTTATGTTCATCATTATTCGTCAGAGCAAGTCTTATGCTTCTTTCAAAGCTGAGAAAATAGAGGCTCAGAGATATTAATGAATTACCCAAGGTCACCTAGGTCTCTGACTGTACAGCTTGTATTAATTTCATTTTGTTATCATGGGCTTTGTCAGTAAATGTGTCTGTAATGAGTAAAAAAAAATTCTAGAATGTGGAGAACCCCTGAAATGACCTGCACTACTGAAGAACGCCTGCCTGAATGGTGTATTGCATATTTGTAAGCTTCAGGGAAAGACCCCTCCAATGAACTTGGAAATAAGTACTAAAATATTTGACACCCCAATGGCAAGAGGATTTTGCATCCTTTTTCCCAGTAGAATCACAGGAGTCAGACATGATTTGATATATAATAATAATGGATTTCATGGATTGAACTCATTATGCCCTTGGCTTCATGCTACATACTTCATAACTATTACTTCATTTACCCAATGCCCAATGAGATGGTTACAGCTTTCTTATGAAGTTACAGGCATTGAGGCTTATAAAGAGTTGAAACTCAGCCAAGTCATGTAGTTTGGGAAGATGGGAATCTGGGTGTATCCAAATCTAAAGCAAATTAGTCAACAATGCATCTGTAGTACAGGGCAAAATAGAATGCAGGGAGTCCTTTTCTCTCTTCCTGTTGGGTTTGCACTTTCAAAACACTTAAAGAAATTGTGAAAATCACAATTATGAATAGAGAATGTCCACAAGTGGCAATCACAGTTACAGGGAAGGTCAACACTGTCAGTTCTGACCACATGTACATTAGTTAAAAACATAAATTAAAACAGAAGAAGGCAAAGGGGAAAGTCCCACTTCCAAATGAGGTCATTAAAACAATAAACTAGTCTCAGTAATTATTTAAAGGGAACAAAACTGATTAGATATCAGAAATAGAACTAGGCCTTCTGGAGAAGAGGACTTCTGTAGAAGCCACCTCCCTTGCAGAATTTCCCTGGAAGATCAGTTCTTGTTTATTTAATATTTTCACAACTACGGAGTAACAAGAGATACTAAGGTAGATTTATTAGAAGATAAGGGATTACCAGCAATGGAATGTTTTCAGTTGCTTTGCAGCATTAAAAAGCCAAATCTAACAGGTCATGATGAAGAAAAAGCATCAAATACTGCTCTTGGATTTCACAGTGAAAATATTTAAGAGGTCCTGGCCTAATTCAAGTTTGATTGCCACTAAGTGCTAGACTTTCTTATCATGTCTTTCATTCCTTAGCTGAGAAATGATTATGAAAGCAGATATTTTCTTGAGAACTAAGTGAATTTCAAATATATGGTGACTTGATATCAGTGGATTAGGATTGTTGCAGCTGTATGAGATGAAGGGTAGCCAACATATTCCCTGGAGTACCATAGAATGCATTTGTTATGAACCAAATGTTTGTGTCCCTCTGAAGTTTATATGTGGAAACACTAACCCTCAGTGGGATGGTATTTGGAGTTGGAGTCTTTAAGAAGACATTGGGTTTAGATGAGGTCATGAGCATGAGGTCTCCATAATAGGATTATTGTCCTTTAAGAAGAGGAAGAAAGACTAGAGAACCTGCTCTCTTTTCCATGGGATGACACGGCAAGAAGTTGATATCTGCAAGCCAGAAAAGGAGCCCTCAACAGAATCCAGCCATGTTGGCCTCTAGATCTTGGACTTCCCAGCCTCTAGAACGGTGAGAAGTAAATGTTCATGGCTTAAGTCACTCAGTCCGAGGTATTTTATTTTAGCAGCCTAGCTGACTAAGACAGACTGGTCCTAAAGTTTCTACTAGCCCATTTCTGATGATCACCAACATTCACATGACTTTCACGAAATGGCAGAAATAAGAGCTCCTGTGCTTGTACTAATTTAGAAACTTTACCATCTGCAACTTCTAACTCAGTTCTGATATATACAGATAGTCACTGACTTCTGATGGTTTGACTTCATGATGTGTTTATTGAGTTATTAAATGTATTTTTGAGCTAGGTGCAGTGGTTTATACCTGTAATCCCAGCACTTTGGCAGACCAAGGCAGGAGGATTGCTTTTAGCCCAGGGGTTCAAGACCAGTCTAGGCAACATAGTGAGACCTTGTCTCTACTGAAAGAAAAAAAGATGAAGGAAGAAAAAGAAAAACATGAAATAAAGAAAGAAAGAGGGAAGGAAGGAAAAGAAAAGGAAGGTGGGAAGGAAGGAAAAGGAAAGGAAGGAAGGAAGAAAGAAAAATTTAAAAATAAAAAATATAATAAAATGCATTTTTGACATAAGATCTTCAACTTATGGTGAGCTTTTCAGGATGAACTCCATCATAAGTCAAGGAACATCTGTATAAGCATTTCAAAAGGTAATGAGAAAACAAATTCATTCACTTTCCAAGTTGGTATTGAGCACCCACAATATGCCAGACATTCAGAGCAAGTGGCATGGATGGTGGAACAGGACAAAGCCACTGAAACATGAACAGCAATGCAATAGGGTCCACACCACATTCCAAAAAGAGGCAGAGGCCAAATATGCAAACATATAAAGCGACCACTGACAGCCAAAGGCTTAACAACAAAATGACAACACTGACAACATGCCCTGAACTGTTCAGACACTGGGTTCATATCTAGTGGAGAAGGCCATGGAAGGGCTATGAGAGAGCCAAGGTCATTGAGGGTGTCCTTCTTAGTAAAGATGTCATACAGACTGCCACAGAAGAGGGCATCCCTTCGATGCAGAGGCAATGGCATGGGCAAGGGCAGAGTGGTGAAAATGGGTGTGTCTGGGCATCAGTGAATGGTCTAGTTTGGTGTGTGGCCCTTTCCCATATAAGTGGGTCTGCTCAGTGAAAGAAAGTTGGAAATAATCATTAAAAAATAGAACAAAGAGACAATATGACCCAATACTCTCATGCCTGTACTTTATCATTCTTTCCTGTAGCTCATTCTATAACCTCAGGGAAGACCATTAATGGAGATGTTATTAGGGCCACAAGTATAAACTTTGGGCCAGATGGTTTAGGCTAATCCTAATTTCAGACATTGTATTCCATTATGGCCAGTATTCCCATTAATACACTCACACATGTAGCCTGAGAGGCACTCAGAAACTTCCCTGTAGAGAAAACATCTTCACCACTGGCCTTCTTTTGGCCATTAGATAAGATAGTCAGAAGTGGGTAAATAGAAAGCCATATTCATATTATCAAAGAGAATAGCACAACTCTAGAGGAGCAAAACCCATGAATAGAAATGCTGTAGCCCAGGCAACATAGTGAGACCTTTTCTCTAGCAAAAATTAAAAAATTAGCTGGGCATAATGGCACATGCCTGTAGTCTCAACTACCTGGGAGGCCTAGGTGGGAGGGCTGCTTAAACACAGTAGGTCAAGGCTGCAGTGAGCTATGATTATGCCACTGCACTCCAGCCTGGGCAACCAAGCAAGACTCTGTCTCTAAAGAAGAAGAGGAAGGAGGAAGAAGAAGAAGAAAAAGAAGAAGAAAGGAAGAGGAAGAGGAGAAGAAGAAAAGAAGAACAAGAAGAAGAAGAAGAGGAGGAGGAGAAGGAGGAGGAGGAGGGAAGAAGAAGAAGAAAAGAAGAAGAAGGAAGAAGAAGAAGGAGAAGAAGAAAAGATAAGAGAAGAAGAAGAAGTGAAGAAGAAAAGAAGAAGAGAAAGAAGAAGAAGAAGAAGAAGAAGAAGAAGAACAAGGAGGAGGAGGAGGAGGAGGAGAAGCAGCAGCAGCAGCAGCCGCCGCCGTGGCGGCACCAGAGTAGAAGAAGAAAGGAAGAAGAAGAAGAGGAGGGGGAGGAGAGGGAGAGGGAGGGAGAAGGAAGGAGCGGGGGGGGGGGGCGTGGAAGAAGAAAGAGATGCTTTGTTTGGTGTGTAGAGGTGGAGAAGCATCATCCAGCTCCCTCTTGAAGGACTTGCCACCCAGCTGTGGGTAGTGAGATGAGCAGGCCACTTTTGGGTGTCAGCCCCTTCTGGATTGACCTCATCTGCAGACAGCCATCTTGCCCAGTCAAACCCTTCCCAGGACAGCTTGCATCTGACAACTGAACCAGACAGAAGCAGCAACACCCAGCAATGTTGACTTGACCCAGGTCAGCTCTAACAGGTGACACTTATTCCTATGCAGGGAGCTCTGTGCAGGGTGGGCTGAGGTTTTCATTGTCTCACAGCTTGGCTTCTCACTGAGCCCAATCCCACATATTCCCCCTTTCCTTTCACAAGGGTCAGTTCCTATTAAACATCTTGTACCTTGAACTCTGTCTGTATGTTTGCTTCAGGAAATCTAAACCTGTAACAGTTAGAAACGGGGTGGGTCAGAAAAATGTCAAGCAAGGAGTTTGTACAAGGAGAACAGTGAAGAATCCCATACCCCTAGGAGGCCATGTGGATGTCTGGAGATGGAGAGGTGTATCAATAGGGAAGGCAGACCCAATAACTGTCAGAGGTCTCTGATGTGTGTCAGAGAAGAAGGAATTCATTCATTTCTTCATTCAATGATACTTGTAGGGAAGGCCCTAGGGTAGCACTGAACTATGGGGATACAATGTCAAAGTCCTCTCAAGAAGTTACAGGCCAGACCCTTACACTCAGAGAAATGCAAACTTCCTTAAAAGTGGAATGTTCCAGGCAATGTTGCTTTTTGGAGATTAATCTATATATAAAGATGGTTTAGATGCTTCAAAAACCTAGACCTCTTAAAACAAGAAAAAGGAAATTCACCCATCTTATTTCAGAATGGTAGCACTCTGAGAAGACCTAGGAAAACAACAGTTCAAAGACCTTTTTTGTTTTCTATTTACTTCTTAATCCAAGAGTCATACAGCATTGTTTATAAAAATAAATTCTAATAGACATCACTATCTTCCAGTTCCTATACGTACAACAACAACAACAAAATTAATAATAATAGTAATAAAAATGGGGCCCAAGAGTAGTGTGGCAAAATTCAAGTGTCTTGACTCTATATAGCCTCCCTAATCTTTATTGTGACCTTGGCCTCTCTAGTAAAACAAGTATGAGACTCTCCCAGAAAAAGATAAATAAATGTGAAATTATAGTAACTGGTAGTCTCCTATCAAGGGCAAAAATAAAGAAGGTATAAAGAAATATGCTCTGTAACTTTCTAAAAGGCAACACGAATTTATAGCAGACTCCCTGTCCACCTTGGCAAGAGGTGGCATAAAGATATGGATCCTTGTGCAGCAGGACATTTTCTGTCTTCCTCCACTGGAGTACTCTCCACGAGCCTAGTATTTATAGAACACAGGGTTACATCTTGGAGTTTCCCTAAAGCTGAAAAGAGCATCGTCTTCAACTTTCCCTATCCTAAATGACATATTCTACTTCCCTAAAACGGTAGATCTATTTATGCATAAAGAACTTGATATCTTCACTTCCCCTGGATCCTCTCCAGTATTCTCTCCCAATCCACATCCCCGAGGAGTTGATGTCATTGCTTTATTTAAAAAAGGGTTGCCAACTGATATGGTTTGGATTTGTGTCCCTGCCCAAATCTGATTGTAATCCCCAGTGTGGGGGAAGAGGCCTTGTGGGAGGTGACTGAATCATGGGGGCAGATTTCTTCCTTGCTTTTCTCATGATAGTGAGTAAGTTCTCATGAGATCTGGGTTTTTTAAAAAGTATGTGGCACCTTCCCTCTCTCTTTCTCCTGCTCTAGCCATGTAAGACATGCCTCTTTCCTTGGTCTTCCACCATGATTGCATGTTTCCTGAGACCTCGCCAGCCATGCTTCCTGTACAGCCTGTGAGCAAAATAAGTGTTATTACCTTAAGCTCCTGTTTTGGACACAATGAAACATGATTGAAACAGGTTCTGTGACCTTGAAACTAGATGCTGCTATAACGAAACCTAAAACATGGGTATTGCTTCTGGGGCTAGTTGGTGGGCAGAAGTTGAAAGGGGCTGAAAGAGACTTTTAGTGGAAGCTTGGTAGCCCTTGAGGAAGCTACAGTAGATTGTTACTGAAAACTGAAGGAAGGGATCCTTGCTATGTAGTGGCAGAAAGTTTAGCAAGATTGTCACCTACAGTGACATGGAAAATACAAAACAACTAATAAACTGGTAGATTTGGCTAAGAAAAATTCCAACCAGAATGTTGAAAATGCCAGGGAGTTTCTTGTAGTCATATATATTAAGTATGTAGGGAGAATGAATTTTTAAAAAAGGAACTGTTACATTCTCAAGAAAAATTTTAAGATAATCTATTAAAGATCCAAGATGATACATTGAAGTATAAAACTATTTCTCTTTCTCAGCCTCTCCATAGAGGAGAGGATTCTCAAATTAAGAAAAGGTGTCAGCTCAAAGATCAAACTCAAAATCCAAAGACATTTTGTTTGTACCTTAGAAAGATATAAGGTAATGCCTCATAAGCCCTTTGAAACCAAGTTCCTCTAAGGATCTAAGCATATGCTAGGCAGATTCTCTCAGTTAAACAGTAAGATTTCTAATAATCCTAAGATTATGTGGTCCCATCACAGCCTTACAGGGATCTCAGGTAGAGAATGGCTTATGTCAAAAAGGTTTTTGTCTAATGGAGTATACTCCAATAAGAATCACAGGAAGTCCCAGAATTTTAAACAGAATTGTACAAACATATTTTGCCAGCTTGAACTAAAAGGAACAGAAATAGTATTAAATGAAAAGACAGCCAAGAACCAAGAATCTGGAGGGAAGA